CTGCTCTGTCAGAGTAGGGCTGCTTTCTGTCCTAGTTACTGGCACAGGAGCTTAGAGAATGCGGGACATTGAACAAAGTCAATAAGAAGCACAGAAACCACAGTGTCCTGGTGCACTTAAACATTCACATACCTGAATGAGTTTTAACCTGGCAGTTTGGACTCTCCTGTGTAAAGCAGCTGATGAAGTTACAGCTGCTTCAAAAAAAAAAAAAAAAAAAAAAAAAATAAAAAAGTTAAACTTTGGATGCCCTAAAGGGAGGAGGAGGGATGCTGCTTTCACCTTCTCCAACTGTGCTGTATAACTCTTGTCTCAACTGTACTGTGATGATTGTGATCATGATTATTACAGCTGGAAGTCTTCGGGTTTTTGAGGGTTGAATTAATGAATAATTTAAAGATGATAAAAATGGAATCTTCCACTGCATTTACTATTCCCTCTCCAAAACAAAAGAAATCTATGTTTTCCTAGCTACAGGAAACATATTGGTTTAATTCTACTCATTAATGATAATGGTTCAAAGAATACTTAAAGAGTCGAGTTGCAGCAGAGTAACTGTATTTGGTCAGCGTCATTCTGGTGTCTACTGGAGTCATTGGGCCAAAACCAGAGGGGAGTCCAGAGGTATCCAACTGAGTCTGAATTGATATAACTGTCAGGTTAAGGTGGAGTCAGAGAGAGAGATATATTGCAGCATCTTAGACCACTTAAAGGCTAATTCAAAACCTTGTAGACTCCACAGGGTTCTTTCCATTCCCTTAAAGAGAATTGCAAGTCTCAATTCTCAGTCTTAAAGTTGTTTAATTTTCATGTAAACCCCAATTCTGCAGTCAGACGTCCTTTTTCAGAGGAAGGGTTCCAGCTAGTAAAAAAACTTTTTTTTTTTCAGCTGTCCATGAATAATGCCTTTTCCTGAATTGACTTCCTGTGAATACTGTCGTGAATGATAGAATAAAGAAATGAAGTTTATTTTGTGGAGTTTTGCAAGATGTAAAACTATCTGATATGGGAGATGAAGTTTCTGTAAGACAAGAATTCATTTTTATTCATGGTGGATGTCCCATGCCTGCCTTCCAGTGGAAGGTAAACACTCATTCACTGTGTATATGAATGCACATATGTAAACACAAAAACATGCACACTTAAAGAGTATTCCTTCTCTATATATCCTCTTTATGTCTGAAAGAAAGAAAAAATTTAAATGCAGACATGGTTCAGGAAAATCCGTTCAGATACATATTCACAGATTTGTAATACACAAACAGTATCTAAAATACCGAAACTGAAAAGAAGGAGTACAAATATAGCACAAGAAAGTTGTAGAAATAAGTTAGAAGCTAAATATAAATCAGACTGACAGTTAAATAGGAATTTTCAATCTGAAATAGAGTCAAGATGGCCAGGGTTTGTCTGTGCCAGGGCAAGTGCCTGGCTGCTAGTTTGGCTTGTCCATGGGGAATGAAATGGTAGGTTGATGCCTCAAATAAATGACAGGGAAGGACAACTTACAACTCATCCTGGAAGCATCAATCTTATATGTACATGTTATTATGCCAAATTATATTCCTAGTAGGATTAGGTTTGGCTGAAGAACAAGTAGTAGTCTCGGAGTTTCCTATAGCAAAAAAATAAGTTGAGAAGTTTATTTGTCTTTTAAATGAGGATATAATCTCTGAACCAAGTAGCTTCTATAAGAATTTGCAAAATGTATCAAAATTAAACTAATTGTTGCATAAAGTTAAGCTTTTCTGAGAAGAACTTCGTTTGGTACTTTGAGAGAGACCAGTACTAATGTGTTGCTGATGGGAGAGTGGAGTCATTCTGGTGTGGCGGTAGTTTGCATCTGTTTTTCTTTGAGTTCTCACTATAAGATTGTAGCAGTTTTCTGTCAATAAGTCTGGTAGGCAAGAATACTGATCATGATGCTCTGGGCTTTATTTTCGAGCACTGCAGATGTGAAAATTTGAGAACCTTTGTTTTGTTTCTTTAATTAAATGGGATCATAAGGAAGCTAGGGCCTTCCTGTTCCTATTTATACCTCTTACCAGTTTGGCCACACTGAAGGTCTGCTTTGGGAAGTACTCTTTCAGAGTTTTTTTTTAAAGTATTTTGACAATTTCTCATCTCTCACTTACAATGCATCTGCAGTTGAGGCAGAGGTTATTTCTTTATCATTGAAGATTTTCTCACAGCTAGGATTACTTTTAGGAGTTTTTACCTCTGATCATTTAAAAAAAGAGATTTTGGCCCAATTATGTAGAGGGAGTGTGTTAGTGAATTTTGTGAAGACAGAATAAATTTGCTTTATTCCTTATGTGGCTGACTTGTACTTGGTATTTATTCTGCAGTCAAATTCAATTTAGAATTATTCAAAGAGCTACAACAAATCGGTTATTAAATGTGTAACTGTGAGTGGTGATGCCTCATGTAGCTGGGAGCCGCTGCGTTGTTCTGGTAAAAGCAGCCAGTCCAGAAGCACTAAATATTTGGAAGAAGGTCTTTAAGTTATTAATATATCTTATTGATATGAATAAATATTATTAAGGATTTATTCAAACTACCTTAATCGTTAGTAGTTAGAAATAGAATCATAGAATCATAGAATTGTCTAGGTTGGAAGGGACCTTTAAGATCATCAAGTCCAACCATCAACCTAA